TGCATTTTTCGGCAATTTGTTTGGATTTTTCATAAATTATATTCTGTCAGAAAAGAATGAAAACGGCAAACTCCAGAACATTTTACAATGACAGAATTGAAATGATTTAATACTACAAATCTATGGCTAAAATTTACTTTAGTCTCTCAGATCCCTCCTCACCAATTTTGGGTTCACATTAATGAAATGGAAAATCAAATTTACCAGTAAAATCATTCATATTTTACAGAAACAATGAAACAAAAATATAAGTTATTTTTTTCTTGGTAATAATTATGTAAAAAGAACATATATTTGATTTTCGATTTATGGTAGATACATTCAGTAATAGATTTGTACAACATTAAATAAATAAATGAGTAATCAAATAAAAAAAATATTTATTATAATTTGTAAATAATGATTCATAGTAATATTAGAAAGGTAAAATGATATTAAATTAAAAAGAAATCCACTTAGATAAAAAAGGTATCATTTATTTTAAAGCTGCTATTTTGTATATTCATAGCACCGCTTGAAAAGTAGGAGGTTATATAGTTATCGGGATGTCTGTCCGTCTGTATGTCCATTTGTCCGTCCGTCTGCTACACTTTGAGGTACCCTTCTCTTATCCACATTCCTCTCATACCACTGAATGAAATTTGACTTTCACAAAATCTTTATTACATATTGCCATTGATCACATCCTGTTTTACATTTTGGTTCGACTCATATTTTGGGTTTCCTAAGCAAAAACATGGATATTGTCATTAAATTCATGTGGGAGGCGGGGTATCATTTAGTGAGCTCTAGTTTAATAAAGATCTTAGTATGTATTTGCACCTGTGCAGATGATCTTTCCTTAACTTAATGTTATCATTTAATAATGCAGTATTCATGAAATGATATTTTATTCACAGGTCTTAAAATTGAATGTTTCAGTTTGTATAAAGTTTAATATAGGTCAATAGGTAATGATTTAATAACATTCATTTGAAAAGTATGGTGTAAAGGAAACAAATATTTACTTCAAGTTATGTTTGAATGTTGCACGTATGGAGATGGATTTTGTTTGTTTTTATGGATGGGAGAATTAGACTTTAATACATAATAAACACAGATAAAAAAATGAAATAAAAAGTAATTCAACCAAACAAAAAACCCTCCGATATCACATTTTTTTGTTAATAATTTTTCATATACATTTTTATTGGAAAGTCTATGTCTTATTTTGAATTATATATATTAATTTTTTTTTTTTCATTTGCTTCCAAAATCTATTTACAATTTTCGAATTTCTTCAACTAATTAAAGGAATCGTCAATCTGCATAATTTATGTAGCAATATATTAAATCACATCATCTGCGGATGAAGCTCGTGTTTCCCAATTGCTTCGAAAATCAAGAACATAGTTTTCGTGCGAAGTTTTTTTTTTTAAACGGACAAGCTGTTGACAAAATACTAAATGAATGATGCAATGGTATCAAAAGTACAAGTAATAGTCAACATTTCAATATATGTTTGGTGAAACAGTTGCCTTGAAAGCAAATGTGTACCTTCTATTAAGCTACATAAAACATTTTCTAATACTTTAAACAAATAAATAGGCCCTTACATGTACACAGAATTGACAACATATTTTTCTTTATGTTCTATCAAAAGAAGGAATCAACAGGTGATATAATGATCTCTCTCGGGTGTTCTCGTAATAGATATAATACTTTTTATACACTTCGTTTCTTTACCTAAGTATTGTTTAACACACTGTCTACAACCGTTTCAAGATTTTTTTCTTTTGATTATGAGATGCGGAGTCAATCGGATAGCAAGAAATACCACCGAAATTTATTGTTGTAGCTATAGAACATGAACTAACATTTTTGGTTTAAATTAAGATACATTCTTGTTTTAAATCTATTTGAATAATATCATTCATTGAAACTTTTAAACTATACATATCTAAAAAACATTATTTTATCAAATTTTGATCTCCAAAAAAAAAAAAAACAAAAAAAACAAAAAAAACAAATTGCATCCAATATCACAATCACATACATTGTCATTGAAGTCCACTCGTCAACATGTGATTTCGACTCACGCTATTTTCATCAAAAGTACGATATGACTGGTTGTATGCTTTTTAACGTCTTCTTACTCGAGAAATTCTCACTAAGATAGATACGTCATAATATAGCAATGAATGGCTTTAAAATTTGACCTTTACTCGGCTCTCGATCAGGGCCATTGAGCAGTGAAAGATCTTTATCGTGCCAACGCCTGTCTTGACACGGGACCTCGGTTTTTAAGGTCTCGTCCAAAGGGCACGCAGCTTTTTACTTCAAAGTGTCAAACGCATGGCGAAAAAACAGTTGCTACCTATTTATTTTATCGGCTTAGGTTATTCGTGGTCGAACCTTCCGATTATGAAGCGATTGCTCTACTTACTGAGCTATGGTCACGGTACTTAAGTTATGAAAATCAATTACTAATTAAAGCAGAAGATCATAACAAAATAACCGTATGCATGTTTTTGCCAAGACGTATTTTACGTTTTTCACTCGAAAACCATTGTGAACAGCTTTAATTTCACCAAGAAACAGATCTTGGCAAAATAATGCCATCCTCTTGGAATTCATTTTTAATTCTCCATTTTGCGAAATTCCTCTGTTTACTGTAGTTGGAAACATTAAATTCTTTGCTTTTACAATGTATTATTTGTGCAATATTTCATACTTTTATATGAAATTACTTAAAGTATCCGAAACAATATTAATGTCAGATTTTCGCACGTGTGCTTTTTATCATTGAAATGAAGCTTAAAATATTTCATTTGCGCAGTAATATTGGAAAATTGTGCTACATCTCCAAGGAACGAGGAGCGTAAGTGAAACAGCTGTTAGAATTGTTTATAGGTGATTTGCTTTTGATGTAACAGTTTTGGAATGCAATCCAGAAAATAGCCCATATATATTCAACACAATCCTAGTATAAATCAGTAATATTTTCATTGAGTTTTTTTTCCAGTTGTATCATGACCACGGTATTTTCTTTACAGAATTTTGTCTTATTGGTTATAGTTAGTCCCGTTTTCATCTTGGGTAAGAATTTATTATTGTTTTTTTTTTATTCTTGAGAGATATTATAATTCATAAAATTTTCTTATGATTTTTTTTAAAGATTCGATGTAACAAAAAAAAAAAATGGAAATATTTATAAATATATAATATACTTTTTGTAATAGCTGGTGATTCGTCCTGCTGGGCAATGAATGGGCGTTGTCAGTACACAAGTGAACCTTGTGGGAGATACAAACCTGGATACTGTGCTGGACCGACTAACAGACAATGTTGTGTTAAAGGTGAGACTCAATAGAATAAATTTGTTTCTTTTTAATTTGTGAGACAGAATTCCATACTTCTGTTGGTCAGTACGTGCAAAGATTCCGTTTTTTTTTTTTATCTCGTAAATGTTTATTTCTTTTATACATAAAAAATTGATGGATTGCAATAAAAACGGATCTTGACATATAAACATCATTTTTATCTAAAAAGATATTTAAGGACAGATAATACAAACACACTTTTGTCATGAAATTGAAAATAACAACCTGAGTTTCAAAGAGTAAAATGAACAAGTTTAATATTTCTTAATTCAAATTTTCACACAAAAAAGGAAATTGAAGTGTCAAATATTTGTATAGATTAATAAGGTTGACTGCAGACAGGTAGAATTTTCAACATCATATTAGTTTTATATTTTGGAATATTTTTTAGATAATTCATTTGCAACAAAAATAAGCCCAGAAATATATACCAATCCAGGCATCCACTTTTTTGTTTGTATCATCTGTCCTTATTTTTATTTCATAATCGGGCATGTTGGTGAGTAGAATGTTGGGGTGTATGATGTAAATAAACCTACATGTACTTAATTATAATGGCGTCATTGTTCCTTAACAAGAAGTATATTTTCATCGTCATAATGAAAAAAAGCAAGATTTTGACCTTCAAAGAAAATCAACCCCAATAAAAATTGTCAGCATATGATTATGAGATGAAGCTTTATACAAGAGTTCATACGGTATATTATAACGGAAATTTGGAATAATTGTTTTGGAGTAATTTTTATTGGTGTGTAGATATCAAAATTGAAATAGGCTTACAATGTAAGACTCTTTGCTGAATTTTTGTGTTTCTGCAACTCAAAATAAAGATTAGAATAAGGTTACTTTAAATTTTGAATGGCTAACAGGCATTTCTCTTTATCGCCCTTCATCATAAGTATTACTTAATCAAAATTACATTCAAAAGCCTTATATAAGTATAAATAATTGAATACTAGTACTCAAACATTGTCAAAGATCTTGAAAAGACCATTATCGATAAGAAGCGAAAACAAATTAGTATCATTATAATTATTTTACAGGTCAAGATTATCTATGTCAGCGAAAAGGTGTATGTCAGGACATAAACACTGTGATTTGCAGGGGAGAGTATACAGCCGGTTTGTGTGGAGGAGGGTTGTCAAGACAATGCTGCAGAAACAGTTATCATATCCCTGGCTGAAAAGCAAGCTCTCCTAAGCTATGTGGAACGGGTCACATAATATTCAATATACCCCAACCCCCAAAATACTTTGCTTATCTTTCATTTAACCTATCTATTTTCAACATGTAGGTTTTTAAACTAAACAACCAAATAAATTGTCCAAAGATCTCTTACATGTATCTTAATCTTCGGGTTACAGTGTATTGAAGACAGTTAATATTATGCAGAATATTCACAGAATGCACATTCTTGCGTATTGATTTGTAACCATCTGCAATTATTTTTATTTTGATTTGACTACTGATTTATCTGTTTATCCGACTAGGAAAAAAAGATTGTGTCATATCGACTGAAGAAACTTAAACCTCAATCATTACCCCAAATCTGATACTGTAAAATCACATATTTTTGTTGGGTCAAATTTTCGAGGGTTGAGGAAATAAATTTGGTTTGTGAGGATTTGAATTTGTGGTTGGAAAATATTTGGTAGTAATGCATATGAAATTTTACATTTCGTCGTGGTCATGAATTCGTAGGTCTCTCCATACCTCGAAAACAACGCAAATTAAACCCCCACGAAATTTACTGATTTCACAGTATTTTCAATGATCCATGTTTGTTTGTATTGTTTCGTTGTACTTAACCTATCTCAGGATTACACCAAGAAAAGTCCTCATTGTTATACCATACTTACAAAAATATAGGCAAAAGCAAGATTTTAGTATCGAGCTCAAAAGCATAGGTGATCAGAGATTAAAAAGCTCCCCTCACCGAATATTGTCTATAAGTAAGGCAAAGTCCTATAATTAAGTTACATTCTATAAGTATATACGAGAGTTGTCCCGTAAAATCGTGGACAAGTTGTCTAGTGTAAAAAATAAACATCACTGCGTTCTGAAATTTTCACTGTTATTTAGTAAATATTTTAGTAATATACACAGCAAATTTCAGATAAATATATGCATAAATAAACAAACTATGTGTTTTTATGCCGTGTATTGTATCACCTTACGGCGCATGGATTATAACGTCAAAGTGTCTAAAACAGCGTCACGTTTTATCTTTGCTGAAATGAAGTTGGATGAGTTTTCAGCTTAGTGCGCCCATTACTTTTCGAGAAAAACGCTTTGTCCACGATTTTACGGAACAACCCTCGTACATCCCAAAATATAAGATTTATGCATTTTTGATCTGATAGGGCTTGAAGTTACTTGGGAATAGACATACGCGTATCAAAATCTTCAAACTAGTCATCCATCAAGAAAATGAAATCAAATCCAGCATCTGAAGCAAGATTGAGAGTGTTCATCTCTTGATGCATCATCTATGCAGGATTGGATAATAATGGCTTTATAGTTTCTTGATGATAGACTTGCACCCATTTACCTGAAACATTTTCGGGAAAATGTATATCGGATATATTTATGATCCAGCTTCAGAAGCAAGTCTAGTAGTATGCATCCTTTAATGTATCATCCATGCAAGGTTGGTCATTATATGGCTCCAAGCTACTTACATATAATTATAAATGATACCTGCACCAAAAAATTTAACCTGTTTACTCATCCGGAAAATTAAGATCAGATTTAGCATCCGAATCAAGTCTAATAGTGTGCATCGGATCCTTAGATGCAAGTTTTGTCGTTATAAGGCTTATAGCTACTTAGAAATGAGACCTGCACAAGTACATTAAGCTGTTATCGAATCTGGAAAACACAGGTCAGATTCAGCATCCAAAGCAAGCTCGGATGCATCCTTAGATGTATCATCCATGCAAGTGTGACTATCATAGGGTTCATAATTACATGGAAATAAAACATACACCAAAACTGCACTAAAAATGCTAACCTCTTTCAAAAACATTAACCTGGTCATAATCTTTGCTAATATTGCAATATTGCAGTATCTGAAACCCTGTCTGGTACAATGAAACACACTAGAAGCATCTTTCATGCAAGTATGATCAATATAAGACGAAGAAGTACTTAACAAGCTAATTCAGAGAATTTTTGTCCCCCGCTTAGGGAAAAGTAAACCATGCGCAGTTCGGGGTCGGCGGTTCGGATCCCCTTCACTGAATTTGTAGAATTATTAGATGTATAAAATGTATACATACAATGTAAGCAAATAAAATATGCCAATATGGATATAAAGGTTTGATGGATTATTCTTTATTATATGTGTAGAAGATTCTTTTTTATATGGAATATTTATCACACTGTAATAATGATATTATAAGTTTGTACAAGCCAGACCTCATAAATTTTTCATTTCACATGCTGAACACTATCGTTTAGTAAAAAAAGAAAAGTATTTCGAAAAAAAAATGAATCGTCCGAGATGCGATCCCGGTCCCTCTCACATTTGAAGCGAGAGACATACCACTAGACCACGGAGTCGCTGTAACCTTGAAACAATTGTATACAAACATGAAGTGACATACATGTATATATTCACGTTTGATATTGTCAAAATTTTACACAATGCATGGTGTCTGATTTAATCTTTATTAAACAGTTCTTATAGATGTAATAAGAATATAAAGTCCACCGAGAACCTGTTATATACGTGATAATTCTCCTCATGTCCCTGTACTAAAAATAGCGACATGTAATACAATAAATACTAATAAAACAAACGGGGCGGGGCACTTTGAGAGGAGTGAGAGAGGTCCTAGGGAGTTTTGGTGTAATATTACATAGCAAAAGCTAAAAATCTTCTTGAAATATCGCCCGAAAATGATAGTGTTTCATACAAACAGTATGTATAAATTTACGACCTTGAACTTTGACCTTTTGACCTCAAAATCAATAGGGGTCTTCCTTAGACCACAGGGAGTTGATATGTAAAATTTCATTTCAAAAGCTCAAAGGGTTCTTGAGATATCGTGTGGAAACGAAAGTGTTATAACAGACAAAATTTGCACAAGATGAAACACACCCTTTAAGTCCGGCTTAATGGTGGCTTATAGGTCCTTAATGGTGGTTTAATGGTTGTCTTTAAGTCACCATTAAGTTACCATTAAGCACCTTTAAGTAACATTTACACCACCATTAAGTTACCATTAAGATTAATGGTGGCTTACAGGTCCTTAATGGTAACTTTTAGACCACCATTAAGTCACCATTAAGCTACCATTAAGCTAGACTTACAGGTGCTTAATGTCCAAACTCCATTAAGCTACCATTAAGCTACCATTAAGCCACCATTAAGCCACCATTAAGTCACATTACGCAGTCGATAATATTGTTTATATGGGTGAAAAATTATTTTTATAGTGATTTGTTATCAATATTATAAATGTAGAGTTCGCTTATATCTTGATTTGGTAAAAATTATGAAAAAGAACGAAATTCAAAAATAAAAAAAAAGCCTCAGTCGGGGCGCGATCCCATGACATTTGGGTTTCAAAGCGAACGCCTTACCCATTAGGCTATCGCCGCTCTTGATAATGTAATGAAAATATCAAATATTTAACCTTAATTTTTTTCAAAATTTGTTTGGACTTGTAAAGGTATTTACTAGTATTTTGTTGAACATTTCCAAAAGTCTTGAATTGATTTATTAATCAAAATATAAACAATTTTATTTGTGGATCTTAACACATTAATATATATTTCTACACTGAGTTCGGCTTTTAGATTGATGTAATGTGATTGAGTTCTTCGCTCTGTTATTCGAAAATTTTCGAAATGTAAGCATTAAATCATGATTGAAAAAAAATTAATTATAGATAAAATACAAAAGTCTATCATCGAAAAAGAAAGAGGAAAAAACAGATTTTACTATTATTTTTGATATACTGCGGATATTAACGGTTTCTGTGTCAACAATTTAGTGACAATCCTCGCGTAAGAGTTACCTGGTTAATCACGTTTACAAGATCTTTTTTTAGAATATCATATTCAGTTTCAATTCTTTTTGTATCATATTGGGTATCAAAATAATTGACTTTTTACGATGAATCATAATTTTTAATTTGTAATATGCTTGCGTTAAATTTAATTTTTTTTTAAAATAATTGATCATTAAAATCTGTCAGTGTACGTTGTGTATGTATAGTTTTCTGTTAGTTAATCGGGGACGGGGGGACACCTAATTAAGGTCTATTGTCTGACCAGTCGGTTTACTGTACACTGATCATCTGTTAATCTTATCCCGTTTCTCAATGTGTATATATCTGGTCGGATGTCATGTTTAGTCTGATCGGCCGTTCCTCTGAAAATCGATTTTGAAATAACAATCATTAAAGACCGACTAGATTTTGACAGATACTTACCGCTGCATTATTAAAAAAAAATAACGAATTAATTAGAATTATTCATGATGTAAAAGCCATTAAAAAGTTTTCATGGTAAAAGTCAATCTTTTAAAACTAAACATTTGTATACCAGTAGCCCCCCCCCCCCCCCCCCCAAAAAGGGACAGAGATTTTTTTTTCATGAGATTATATAGTTATATTCCTGTGAATTCTGTAGCGGAATGTTTCTTTTAACACATGAAATAAAAATACCATTTTGTTTTTAAAAAGTAATATATATTTTGTGTTCATGAATATAGATAATTTTAAGAACAAATTGATTTTTGGTATTGTAAATTTAAGATATTTCACAAGGACTTGTTCACAGTGTGTAATAATTATTTCTAAAAATCATATACACTAAAAATAAAAACAACGCATGTAATAATGATTTATTTAAAAAAAATAATATACGTTCTGATACAGGATGTTTTGTTTTATTATCACTGTAAATGATTTTAAGAAAAAAATAGACACCTCGAGCAAGCCCCTGTGGCTATTAGCTAACTTTGTTCCCAGTGATCAAGTTTATGCATGTTGACAAAAAAACTCGTAGAAATTATGATCGAGACAGAATTATGAGTTGGAATAGATTTTGCGTAAATGATATTAAAATAAATAAAAGTTAGTTCAAAGATTCTATATAAGATGCGTAAAAGTTTAATGAGGGTTGACCATTAAGTCACCATTAAGCTCAGCTTAATGGTGGTTTAATGGTAGCTTAATGAAGTTTGGACATTAAGCACCTGTAAGTTGCAGCTTAATGGTGGCTTAATGGTGGCTTAAAGGAATTAACTTCTTTAAGCCACCATTAAGTCACCATTAAGCTACCATTAAGCGATTGCTTAAAGGTGGTCTTTCGTCTTGTGTTGCTTATTTATGACCTTGACCTTTGACCTTTTGACCTCAAAATCAATAGGGGTCTTTTTTGGTCCATAGGGAGTTGCTATGCTAAATTTCATTGCAAAAGCTCAAAGGGTTCTCGAGATATCGTCTGGAAACGAAAGCGTTACAGACAGACAGAAAGTCGGATGGACGGACGGACGGACGGACAGACGGACGGACAAACCCAAATTAATATCCCCCACTTTTCAAGCGGGGGACAAAAAAAAAACTACTACAAAAAACTTATCCTGGGACACAGACGCGAAGGGCGT